TTTTATTTATTTGAGAGAGAGACAGAGAAAATCTGAGTGGGGGGAGGAGGCAGAAGTTAGAGGGAGAAGCAGACTCCCTGCTGAACAGGAAGCCTGATACAGGACTTGATCCTAGAGCCGAAGGCAGATGCTTAACCAACTCAGCCACCCAGGCGCCCCTCACTCCTTTTTTTTTTTTAACTTAAAGATATTAAAGGTTAGTAGAGGGGAATCATGAAAAATAGATGCAGGAAAACAAAACCAGGTGGTGAAGTTTTGGCTAGCGAGCGTTGCCTGCGGACGGCTCTGAGCCCAAGGCCCACTTGCTCTTTGTCTAAAATGATACATGGTCCGGGGTTAGAGAACGTTGGGATCAGACCACAGTTAGAGGCTCAAAAGAGTGAAAATGGAAAAGTTTTCTGTGACAAAGTCTAGTGCCTCAGCGTGATTTCAGGCCACATCTGTGTGTCGTGAACCATGTAAAATTATCAGATGGTGCCCTATGGTTTGGAAATTTTGATCAAATGAGTTGCAGGGAGACAGATAAGCAGAAGGCACGTGGAGGGGGCTTGTAGTGAAGATGTGGTACAGTTTCGTACAGGACGTGTTAAGTCCAAAGGTGCTCTCCCTGGGGCGCCCAGCTGGGCTCAATCCATGGAGCCCGCGACTCTTAATCTCTGGCTTCTAAGTTCGAGCCCCACGTTGGACATTGAGATACTCAAAAACAAAAGCTTAAAAAAGGGGGGGGCTCTCACTGGGTCCTTTCTCCTAGGTGGGATCTCAGAAGGGGATGGGGAGGCCCCTGAATGGGTACGTGAGAGAGCGAAGCGCAGGTGTCTAAGATGAAATGGGGAACAAGGGATGACATGACCTGAGTATCCACAGCGTTGTGTAGCAGGTTGTGTCCACTTCAGTTCCCTCCAGAAGCAGACCCTGACTGAGATTCAAGTGCATGTGGTTTAACAAATGATGCCAGGACAGCCTGTCGGGGAGCAGGGAGTAGGGGAGGGGTAGGGAGAAGGGAAGGGCGCATTATGCAGCCAGCTGCCACTGTGGGCAACTGAGCGTGAGCTCACGAAACAGCTTTGGGGCGAAGGTAAAAGACACGTCTTGGAGTCACTCTGCTCGGGTGTGAGGATGCTGGGATATTTATGGCCCATTGGACAGTTTCTGGGCATTTTCATTTGCCTTTAAGCGATTACAGTGGCGCTACCTGGCTTAGAGAGAGTTCTCAGGTCCTGAGATAAAGATTCAGGCTGTCAGGCGTTAGGCCAGTCCTGGCAAACCATGGGATGCTGGATTCTAGGAAATAAACTGAGGGTTGCTGGAGGGGGTGCGGGGGTGGGAGATGGGGTAACTGGGTGATGGGCATGAAGGAAGCTATGTGAGGTAATGAGCACTGGGTGTTACAGGCAACTGAGGAATCACTGAAGTCTGCCTCTGACAATACGCTATATGTTAACTAAACGCTCTAACAATACGCTATATGTTAACTAAATTGAATTTAAATAAAGAATTTTTAAAAAGGGGGGACGCCCGCCTGGGTGGCTCAGTGGTTGAGCATCTGCCTTTGGCCCAGGGTGTGATCCTGGGGTCCTGGGATCGAGTCCCGCATTAGGCTCCCTACTTCTCCCTCTGCCTGTGTCTCTGCCTCTCTCTCTGTGTCTCTCATGAATAAATAAATAAAATCTAAGAAAAAACCATTTTTTTAAAAAAAGGAAACAATAATAAAGGGATGTCCCCAAGGGGTGAGCAGTTTGTAAGAAATACTATTAAAGGAGTAATCATCCTCTTAGCTATGAAAAAAAAAAAAGAAGAAGAAGAAGAAGTTAGTCCAATCCTGATAAGGCTGGAGGAATAGAAGTAGGAAACTGACTGCTCTTACTACACTCTCCCTCTGCTAGAAATTTAAAAAACCCTGTCCTGTTTAATCCTTACCAGAGCATCCAAGAGAGCCAGTTCTCATTTACACACAGAGAAAGAGGCACCAGGAGCTGCTTTATTTGCCCAAAGTCATGCAGCCTGTGTTCCACTCCTCTGGTTACACCTTCCTAGTCTTTTTTTTTTTTTTTTAATATTGAAGTAAATTCACATAACATCAATTAGAGATTTTAAAGAGGACCATTCAGCAATATTCCTATATCCACGGTACCGGGCAGCCGCCACCTCTATCTAGAGCCAAACCATCTTCATCACCCTACAAGGTGGCCTTGTACACATCAAGCCCTTGCTCCTCACTTCCCCTCCCCCAGCCCCCAGCAGCCACCAATTTACATCTGTCTCTATTGATTTGCCCATTCTGGATATTTCTTACACATGGAATCGTGTGCTTTTTGTGCCTGGCTTCTTTCATTGCAGCATGGTGTTTTTGAGACTTATCCATGCTGGAGCAGCAGATATTAGTATTTTTTTCTGTGTGTGGCCGAGTCACACTCGGTTCCATGGATATACCACGATTTGCCTCTCTGTTCATCCGCTGACGGACACGCAAGCTGTTTCCCCTCCTGGACTATTGTGAATAGTGCTGCTATGAAAGTGTGGGTACATGTATTTATTTGAATCTTTGTTTTCAGTTCTTCTGGATGTATAACTAGGAGTGGACGTGCCAGGACATGTGTGATAATTTTGTATTTAACTTTTCGAGGAACCATCCTACTCTTTTTGGAGGGACCCTTCTCCTCTATTTAAATGTTAGAATTTGGGACACCTGGGTGGCTCAGTGGCTCAAAGGAGTATCTGCCTTTGACTCAGGTCATGATCCCGGGTCCTGGGATTGAGTCCCAACATTGGGCTCCCCACAGGGAGCCTGCTTCTCTCTCTGCCTATGTCTCGGCCTCTCTCTCTGTGTCTCTCATGAATGAATAAAGATAGGCTCTTTTTTTTAAAAAAAAGTTAGAATTTCTTGAGATTCAATTCTTCTTTCTTTCTTTCTTTTTTTGTTAGATTGTATTTATTTAAGAGAGAGAGAGAGAGAGAGCACAAGCAGTGGGGAGGGGGATGGGAGAGGAAGAGAGAGAATCCTAAGCAGACTCCATGCTGAGCACGCCCTACACAGGACTTGATCCCATGAACCTGAGATTACGATCTGAGCCAAAATCAAGAGCCGGATGCTTAAGTGACTGAGCCCCCCAGGTGCTTCTTCCTTGAGGTTCAATTCTAAGCCACTCTCCTGCTTTCTCACTCAACACTTTCCTGCAGGTCACCCGTACCCACGGCTACACTTACCAACCCCACGCCAAGGATCCCCAGACCTCTGCTCAGAGCTCTAAATATTGGTCAGTGTCAACTGGCTGGCTGACATCTACCATTGGATCGATTCTAGAACTGAACCAACCTGGGCCTGGTCCCGACCAGCTTCGCCAGTCTCTGTGATCGCCAAGCAGCATCAGCATCCCCTTGGATGTGCAAACCAGGAACTGGGGGTTGTCTTGGACACTTTCCCTCCCGACTCCCCTTTTCTGTCTACCACCAAGCACTGTCGATTTTCCTTTCTAAATGACTTTTAACTTTGTGCAGTCCTCTCTCTGCTGCCATCTCTCTTAGCCATACTCACATAGATACGCTCGCTTGGCTGACTCCATCCACCTTCTCATCAGTCTCCCTGTCCATAGGTGGAGCCCCCTCCCATCCATTCTCCAAAACTATCAAAAGGGATTTCTTAAGAATGCAGATCAATCTGACCACAGCACCTCTACCTTCTCCGTGGCTTTTAGAATAAGCAGCACCTTCTCTGCTGGAACTCTGGGCTCATTTTGAGCCACTCCCCACTTCCCTCCTGCTGCACTGGCCTTGGTTTTGCCAGGTGATTCTGTGGTCTCCTACCTCAGGAAGTGGTCTCCACTGTTCCCTCTACCTGGAGCGTAGCCTTGTGCACTCCTACGCCTTTTTTCAGTTCTAGTCTCCCCCCTCCTTCTAGAAACCTCCCTGCTTTTCAGATGAGATCAGCTTCCCCCACAATATGCTCTGATCATTATCACATTTGTGTAATTAGTAATTAACGTCTGCTTCTCCCCTGGACCGTAAGCTTTTTGGAAGCGGGACAACATCAATTTTGCTCCATCTAATGTTAAGTTTGGACTTAAACGCAGCTGCCACACAGTGAATACTCACGAGATAGGTGTTAAATACGTGAATTAACTAATGAATGAGAAATGGAACTCCACCTCAAGACTGATTTCACATCCTTCTCTCTCCACGGCTCCCCTTTGCCCTATTCTTAAAACAGGAATGTCCTTGAAAATTGGGCGGAATTTCCTCCCAAACATGGAAGGAAACAGAAACAAGGTTGAAAACCATCTGGCTGGTTCCCAGAGCTCTGTCATGGGCAACTGCTTTTTGAACTCACTCCTGGGTGGGAACCTGCTTCGGGGGGGAGAGAAGACCAGAGAACCCACTCCCAGCTCTCACCACTGGCACAGGGTAAAATATAAACTGCTCACCCATGTCCACACAGATTGAACAACATGTAACCCTTTTAGAAATGGCTTTAGCCCTTTTACATCGTACGTTCCCTTCATTCTGAAAGAATTTCAACAAGATAAAAAGGCTGCCTCAAACCCTTTGTGGAAGAAAGGCAATCGAATGAATGAATGAGTTACGCGTGACTTAGTAAGTATTGAGAGAAGGAAGGACGAAGCTGTTGGGGGGCCCGGTGTGGACAAGTAGAACACAGTGCAATTTGTCCCCAAGCCCTTAGACATGATGCTAATGATGGGGTCTCTGCAGAGCTGGACACGACTCCAGTTCTCAATCATGGTTTCCTGCTCCTCAGGGGTCATTCCCAGAGGGGCTGAAATGGCATTAGAAATGACTCGCATCCACCATAAGGTTTAAGTGACAGCCCACACCTGGAAGCCCTGAAATGGTGTCGGAGAAGCCAAAGCATAAGGTTATCCTAGGTAAGCTCTCCGAGGAGGGCAGCAAGAGGGGAGGAGTCGTCCAGCTTCTAGACCAGGAAGCACCTACCCAGGTTGATTTCAAGGCTAGAATTAATCGTGTAGGTTTGGGGTTGCATGCAAGCCCCTGCCTGCAGGTCAACTGGAAAGAAACCTGGAGTCACTCTTCCCTGCTTGGGAGCATTGAGTCCCTCTTGGCTCCAGTCAAGGGGTGTCGGCAGTGGGGAGCACTAACAGATGTCTGACACCAACTCAGGAAGTCCGAGTGTGAGTGAGTCTCCCCACCCCCCCAGGCCGCAGTGAGTGTCTGGCGACTCACCCGGGGCAGGCCCACTGGTGCTGGCTCATCTGGTCTTCCCTGATGTTCTGGCCCTCTCTCTCTCTCTGGCCAGGCAGGCGGGAGGTGACAGCTCAGTCCCGCCTCGTGATCCTGCTTCTCTCTTGCTGCAGCCACCAGACTTGCTTCTAAAGGCAGCTGCAAGCATTTCCCTACTGGGCAACCACACACGTAGAATGTGAGTGGCGTCCCTACGTGTGTTTTTCCTTCCGGTTGCTGCAAGTGATGTTGTCTCGGTTCATTTCCTCTCTGTGCCACAGTTGGTTTTTTTTTTTTTTTTTTTTTTTTCTGATACACTGAGGGTGATCTGTAGTTTAGGGACAGGTGAGAAGTCTAGCTCTGATCTGGACTGCTTGCTACTTTGAGAACGAGAGGTGATCTTTATTATCACGATGAAATTCAGGGGAGTGCCATAAGCTCCTTCCTAGGCTGCATGGAAGCAGACATTGGGCTATTGTAAGTCCACCAAATTCAGATTTTTGTGGTTTTTATGGAAGTAATGTATTCTAAAGAGTTCCACTATAGATTGACATGAAACATCTTTTCATTTAACCAGTATTTATTGAGTCTATGCACGGTACCTGCTAGCCTTTGGGTACCCACATGGAGAATTCCCATTTCCAGGGTGGTATAGAACTGGAGACTGTGCATTTGGAAGGGAATTTGCCAGCTACTTAGTCTCAAACCTTTTGTCTTCTTGCTGTGTGCTTTGGAGTAGCACCCAAGTGGTATGGTCTGAAGCTAACCACCTGGTGCTTGCCTTTAAATGCTTTTGATCTTTCTGTGACTCAGCTTCCTCATCTGTAAAATGGGAGTAGTCATAGGATTGTTGTGGGAATTAAGTGAGGCATTACATGTAAAGCACTCAAGGAGTGGCTGCCACAAGTATATGAGTGTTTGCTATTATCATTAGTGGCAAATGTTATTATTATGAGCTCAGTTCTTTGCTTTTTTTTGCTTTCTCTTCCCCCTCCTTATCCCTTGCTGATGCCTAGAAATGACTGGGGGACAGAGAGGATGGAGGAGAGAGGGAGACGGTTTGAACAAAAGTGGCATGGGATGCTCCTGTTTGCTCTAGTATCAAGATAAAGAAAGCACTGTCCTCGGCCCTCCCTTCATCCTCGCCCTCTGTTCATGCTGCATATTGCATACCAGCAACTTCTGTTTTATTATTGTCATTCTGTTTTGTTTGAATTTTCTGTAATCCTTCTCTGAAATTCAGATCCATGTCATTTATTTTAAATGTCGATCTGGTCTGAATCATATTAAGGAAATACTTGCCCATAAGCAGATGCCACATTTATTTATTTATTTTTAAAGATTTTATTTATTTATTCACGAGAGAGAGAGAGAGAGAGAGGCAGAGACACAGGCAGAGGGAGAAGCAGGCTCCATGCAGGAAGCCCGATGTGGGTCTTGATCCCAGGACCCCGGGATCACGCCCTGGGCTGAAGGCAGACACTAAACCACTGAGCCACCCAGGGATCCCCAAGGTGCCACATTTAAACAAAGAAACAAACCCTCAGCTCAATGCCTTGTGTAATTAGGATTTATAAATAAATCAGTAAGAAGAATATCTATGGCAATCTTCATACACATGTTGTATCCATAGGTGTAATTAGCAATATTCATGGTAAAAATATCATCTATTTTTCTTTCTTCCTTTTTCTTAAAAAAAAAAAAACTACTCTTGTGTACATGCTGCATATCAGGAACTGTTTCCAGATTAGAGGTAGAATTATCCTATTCTCAAGTTTTTATTTTATAGTGCAGCGTATCCATACTAAATCGAGTGGAGCAGAAGCAGAGACTGTACATATTTTTTTCCAACATGTCCCTCCATGCATTTCCCATTCTTCCATAACCTGTGATATTTTCTCCATTAGATATTTAAGCAGTCTGAATTTAAATGTATCAATTTCAGAAAAAAAATAACTTACAGTTATACATAATACCTCAAAGGTTAATGCTATCGAGTTGTCTCCATAAGTCAGTTACACCCTAGATATACAAGAAGGTGGAGCTTGACTTTTTATACATAAAACATTTGAATTTGTCACCTTGATTATCCTTAATTCGGTTCTTTTGTCTACATCCTTATGGCCTCCTTTCCCACTTGGAGCTGCCTGCATATCTCATGCCTGAGGGCTTCAGAATGGAGAGAGAGAGAGAGCGAGAGAGCGAGCATGTCTGTCAAGGCAAACTGAGGAGCTCAGACTTTGTCCAAACACAGATCACACTTGTTCTAGAAAAACAAGTGAGATGTTTTTTTCCCACTTGGAAAGATGAAGTTTCCTATGTCTGTTTTCCTACTTAGAATTTTCTTCTTCTTCTTCTTCTTCTTCTTTTTTTTTTTTTTTTGCTTTATTTTCTTCTTTCTTGATTAGTGACAGGTTATATCATGTGTCAGGATTTTGACAAAGCCCAGAGAGTTCTGACAACAAACAAACAACTGTAATTTCTAATCACTCTATCCAATGAAGACCGTGTTTACATTTTCATTTTTATTTAAACAATCTTCTTGACTACTTTAATTAGCTTCTTCATGCCAGCTTGGTTAGCACCACAGAAAGGTTTATAACTACCTGTTAAGCAGTAGCCAAATCCCAGGCAACTGTTTTGAATTTGTCATGGGTGTTTGGTCCAAGGAGAGACTGTTGTATGGAGTGGAGTCTAATGGGTGGGGAAGGCAGAAGGGAGGAGTATTAGAGAAGATAAAAAGTTAAAAAAAAAAAAATCTATGGCCAAGTTTTGTGTGTGTGTGTGTGTGTGTGTGTGTGTATTTATGATTCCATTTGTGTGACTCATTTCCCTCCATGGCCGAATACAGTATTAGCCATAGGGAATCAGCTACCCACTGAGGAATTTAAATGAATATGCCCAAGAGTTGGTTTGGCAAATTTTAAGAGCAGACTTGTCTGGTATTATAATGTGTGCCTCATCCCTTCTCAGGAATGGGAGTCAATCTTGTGGTTTTCATTTTTAGATGAAGAAATCAGAGCTCAGAAAGATCCAGTTCATTTGTCCATTCAGCAGCTGTTGCCTACCTGCACACTTCCGTGAGCTTTCCCAGGTATGTTCGGTACACTAGTCCCAAGACACAGGGCTTGTCTTCAAGATAATCTGGTGAGAAAACCATTCCCCTGAATTGGTTCACTCAAATACTAAAAGCATTAATTGAGCAAGTGCTATGATAAATAAAAAATGAATGACAATCAGCTCCTCCCTTAAGAGAGACTGCCGACTAGTAGGCCTAGCAAAACAAACTCTACCCATCTTCCTTTTCTGCTCTCTTGCCACTTAACAACCCTCTTTTGCCCTTATCACAGGACATCTTTGTCTTTCCCCTCATCCATTCTCCCAGTTTATCAGCCAAGTCCCCAGTCCCCAGTCCCAGGACCTCACGACCAGCTATTTTGGCAATGCATTAATGTTGATTTCCTCGTTCCTATTCTTCTGGGTATTTGTGCATTTCCAGCCATGAGTGGAAGCTCAGTCTACTTTCATGCTCCAGAGTCACCCAGCCTCGCTGGCAGAAGTTGAGAAAGGCTGATTTGTCTTCTTGCAGATTTTCCCCCAACAAGCCCCACTGAGGCCCTTCTGCAGCTTGGGAATCTTCTCGTGCATCTCCCACAGACTATCTGTGAAGTTTTCTTTCCATTCTTTTCCCCACCCACCCTCTAGCAGCTCTGTGCCCAGCCCTCACCTGGTGCCACGTGGAAGGTAAGGGCTGATGTGAGTTCTAGCGACTGCAAGGTCTCTGCAGACCTTGGCTCTCATATCCTCCTGTTCCTCATTTTCTGCAAATTCTCCAACCCTTTGAATTATAGCTTCTAGCATTGCCACCTGACTAATAATACGAGTCAGAACTACCTTCTTTTATGTTTATCCTTAGGAGGAAAGTGACATTTGCAAAGATGAAACCATTCTTCTAGTTCACAGAACAGCTGTCTGAAGAAATGTGGACACCTGGAGGGACAAAGGGAAGAAAGACTAAATTATTTTTAAGAGGTCACTGATGGCAAATTTAAAAGGTTCCAATTTATTGGAAGCATTCGTTGCATTTAGACATCTGTCAAACAGCAAGCACTTACTTCTCCATAACTTGTATCCTGACTACCTATCCCTCTTCTGGGTGGTAACTATTTTTGGCTTCCCCCCAAAATAATTGGGAAAATCTTGTTAGTATTGATTTTTTCATAATTAAAACTATATTTTATTTATTCGAGAGACACACACACAAACACACACACACACAGAGAGAGAGAGAGAACAAGTGGGATGAGGGTAGAGGGAGAAGCAGACTCCCACTGAGCAGGGAGCCCTATGTGGGACTCGATCCTGGAACTCCAGGATCATGACCTGAGCTGAAGGCAGATGCTTAACTGACTGAGCCAACCAAGTGCCCCTTTTTCATAATTTTTAAAATTCATGCTTTAAATCTAAAAGTAATAAATTTATATGGTAAAAAACTAATATTGCAAGTAAAACTAAGGTGCCTTTTGACCGTCAGCTTTGATTTCAATTCCCTCCCCTGCTTTGCCCGCAGTGAATCCCTGCTATCTGTCTGGGATGTATTCTTCTGAGACATTTTTTGAGTATTTACGTGAATATATGTAAGCACTGTCAGTTTGCAGTTGGGCACACGTGCCACCCCGCCCTTGAGCGTGCTTGTGCACACATACAGAACACGAGACTGAAACCATTCTATTGCACTCGGTTTCTGAGGGAACTGTGTAAACTGCTATTCTGGTTTCACATGCAAATAGCAATTTGAAAACAACATCTTATTCATGAGAATATAAAAAATAAAACAACGTGGCTGCCGTGGATGGTTGAAGCAATTGGACTCCTCTGTGGGTCAGACTTTTGCTCATTTGTGTTCTAAATATAGAAAAACGAGGATTTATGCCCAGCTGGTTGGTCTCTGAGTGGAGACTCCCAGATCAAATACCAAAGGTCCAGTAGTCATTTGTTAAGGCGAATTTCTGGACTTTCCTCTCTGCCTACATGATCCCATAGCCAAAACTCAAGTCAAATCATGCCTCTCCCTAGGTAGGTGTGTGGCTTCTGACCACAAGCCCAGGCCTTGGCAGGGACTGCCATGCACTGTTTGTAATCATTTCTAGCCAATTTTCTCTCTATAGTAGCTGGCTCGTTATCTTTCCTCTTCCTTGAATATTTTCTATCTTCTCACCTGTCAGAGCAGCCTCCATGCATAACCACATAGGGAGAAATGACTACTTCAAAGACTGAGAAATACTTTCTACTGATTCCCAGCACTTGAAACCTCAGCACTGTTTTATTTTCCTTCTAGATCTTCGACAATTATTTTCCACTAACAATAAAATTTAAAAGAGAACTCCAATTTATTCTTTCTCTATTTTCACCACAACTTCCTATTATATAAACAAAAGCCTTGTGTCCACATGTTCACAGAAGCCCAAAACCTCAGATCCTCAGTTCTATCTACCCTCTTGCCTTTCCTCCCCTCTTCTTCCTTTCAGGCTCAACTTTCCTGATAGAGGAGTCTGCATCCTGTGCCTTTATGTTCACATCTTCCATCCCCTCCTTCCCCATTGCATTTCTTCTATTCAGACACCTGGATCCTACCCCAGCCCTCCGTGGAGGTTGTCATTATTGATGTCATCCAGGGATCCTATGTGATGAAGCCAATGTCTTTCCCACTGTTGGCATTTAAAATGACTGATCACCTCTTCCTGCCCAGTCTTCTTCATTCTTTCTTTGGGGGACCCCATTCAGCCCCGGCTCACTTCATGGCTCACTGCACCTCCTCCACTTACTGCCCCCCACCATGTCTCACCATTGGGCTGCATACATTGCCACTCTTCTGCTCTCTCTGAATGGGCTCCCATTTGGGTGTGGGGCCAGCCTTCAGCCCCTGTACTCTTCAGTAGCATCATCATCAAACACTTAGTCTCTGTCTTAGTCAGTGCTGGTTGCTTTCACAAAATACCATGGGGACTGGGCAGTTAAACAAGAGATAGTTATTTCTCACAGTTCTGGAGGCTGGAAGTCTGAGATCAGGGTGCCAGCATGGTCTGTTTCTAGCTAGAGCCTTCCGATTATTTGTAGATGGCCACCCTCACATGTGGAAGAGACAATCTCTTCTGTGTCTCCTCTCATGAAGTCACTCACTAATCCTATTATGAAGACTCCATCTTCGTGACCTAATTATCTACCAAAGGCTTCATCTCCTAATACAGTCCTGTTGGGAATTAGGCTCCAACATATGAATTCAGGGAGGAGGAGGACATAAACATTCAGGCTCTAGCAGTCTCTCTGCCTCCAAACATTGCAAATTTCCTTTTCCTTGCTTCTTTGGTTTAACCTGTCACCAAACTCTTGTTTGTTTGTTTGTTTGTTTGTTTGTTTTTTAATATCAAGTTTTGTTGACCAATTATTTCTGTACACACTCACTGGCACCATCTTAGTTTCGACTTTCATTGCTTAGAGAGTCACAATTCCTAACTGTGACAACCCTGTTCTAGCACACTGTTGGGCACAGGCTGGGTCCTCAGGAGATAGTAGTTGAGTAAACATCTGCCCAGTACTAGATATTCTCAAAGGCTAATTTCAAAGCTTCCACCAGCAACCTGTTGCCTATGAAATAAAGTTGAAATGACTTGGTGGCAGATCAAGATCCATGCTATTCTCTTGGATTCTCTCCTGCTTGTCCACACCTAGAGTGCCCTTCACCTTCCTGTCACTGGTCCCTAATGGTTCATGTCTTCTCATGACCCTGGCCTTGTAAAGTTTTTTCCCCTGCTTAGAATGCCCTTCCTTCTTCTCCTTGTGGCAGCCTCCTTTAAGACTGTACTCCTCCAGATGGAGTATTTTTCCTCCTTTCTCTGTCACCAGGACTTCCATTGCATTGATTGTATAACATCACAATAATGCATCTACCTTTCCTGGACTTTGAGACTCCTGACAGCCAGGAACCATTGCTTATTCATTCTGGGGACTAAACATTTTACAAAGTGGCTTATGAAGGCCTGGCACCAGAATCATCCATGAAGCTGGTTAAATAGAGATCCCCCAGGCCCCACCCTTGAACTGCTGAATTAGTTTGCTGGAGAGTGAACCCTCCCAGGTAATTCCTAAGCATATGAACATTTGAGAATATGGTTACAGTATCTAACAAATATTTGATGAATAAAGACATGATGAGAAGTACTGAGATCCCTACTTCTAAAAATCTGCTCTATATTCTTCATTTATCTGAAGGTATATTTTGGCTGGAGAGAGAATTCTGGGGAATTTGGCTCAGCCATGGATCAAAGTGACCTAGTGGGAAACAGCCTTGCATTATTCTCTAATCAGGTCATGCAAAGTACCTATTGTCCTGTCCAAATGCCAAATGAAGTCTAGGGTCATTCAAAGCCCTGAAGATGGTTGGCTGTGATAAGAACTAGCAAATTCTTGTTCAAGTGGGAACTGGTATTTGTGCGCATGTTCTACATTTTTAACTCACTAAAACTACGTGCTTAGGGTTCAGTGGCTCATAAGTACCTTCTAAGGAGTCTCGCTGTCTCATTTGCTGTGCTTCTCACCAGTATGGATAACTCTAGTGTCAGTTAATAGACCTCCGGTGTTGACATTGGGTGGACTGTGAATGAACTCTAAGGGTTTTTAGACTTAGTTGGGACCGATGGATTTGTGAAGGCAAGCAAGCCTTGTTTGGGCCACAAGGTCTCTAAAATGTTCTTTTAAAGTTTCTTCTGTGGATTTTGAGCTCTACCAAAAGATCTTGAGACTGTCATAAAGCACCAAACTAGGCCTAACGAAGACTAATATGCAGCATGTGAATGACCACCCAAAGTATCCTCCATAAATATTTGTTGGATTTGTTATTTACTAAATAATTAAATATCTCCAAAAGTGCATATAACAAAAATGTAGAAACACACTGATATCATTAGGTAGTTGAAACAAACATATGTACCTGTGACATAGAAGAATATTTTAGACATCAAGACTTATGTGAAATTTGTGGTCCTTTGTAGAAGAATTGAGACCTGGGGATAGCACCCAAGAAGAAGGAAGATATAGGTTGACAACTGAGACATTTCCTGGATTGTTCATATCATGTCACAGCTGGACTGAGCCTTAGAAGGTAATTTTAAAAATATTCCTTATTCTTTAATATATCCATTACTTCTTTACTACACAAATGACATATATCCATTGCCCAAAAAAATAATTAAAAGGATGACCTAACCAATGTTACACTGTAGCATATACTCTTTTAAATGTTTTCTTGTATATGTATATTATGATATTATATTGGATTAATTTCCTATTGTTGTCATCACAAAGTACCACAGACTTAATGGCTTAAAAGAAAATACATTTATTAACTTAAAGTTCTCTAGGTTAGAAGTCCAATACAGGTCTCACTGGCCAAAAGATAACATGCTCATAAGGGTTATATTCTTCTGGAGGCTTTAGGTGAGAATCTGTTCCCTTACTTTTTTCCAGCTTCTAGAGGCTGCCCATATTCCTTGTCTCAGGGCCTTTTCCTCTGCCTTCAAACCAGCAGTTAAATCCCTATGACCATTCTTCTATAGCCACATCTACCCCGACCACAGCTGGGATGTTTCCTCTCTGATTTTCAGGGTCCATGTCATTAGATTGGATCCCCATGGATAAAATGGGAGCCCATCTCCAGGTCACTAACTTAATAACATCTGCAAAATCCCCTTTTCTGTGTAAAGTAATATATTTATAGGTTCCTAGAATTAGGACATGGCCATTATTCTACATATTGCATATAGAAATTATACGAGTAAAGTGCATATAGAAATTATACAAGTGCATGGAAGTTAAGTGATTTAAGATCACACACTGGTAAATAATAAGATTTATTAAACTCTTTCAGAGCGTTAGAATCTGATGCAATGGAGACTTGTGATAAAGAGATGTAGGGAAGAACTGCAAAGAGTTTCAATAAACATAGAACCAAGCTTCTCAGGAACTGGCACCTCATTCTTAGTCTATAGATGCCATGATCTTGTTGATTTCTCAACAGCAGACATCCATGGTACCAATAAAGCCACTGCCTAAAACTGCTGCCATTCTTAAGCAGTTTTTTTAAAGATTTTATTTATTTATTCATGAGAGACACACACACAGAGAAAGAGAGAGAGAGAATGAGGCAGAGACATAGGCAGAGGGAAAAGCAGGCTGCATGCAGGGAGCCCAATGTGGGACTCGATCCCGGGTCTCCAGGATCAGGCCCTGGGCTGAAGGCAAGCGCCAAACCGCTGAGCCACCTGGGGATCCCCAGTGCTGCCATTCTTAACAATTCTCATCCCCCCTTCTCGCTCCCGCCAATGGCCTTCCTTTACTGTTAGCATCCTAGTTTCTACTGACTCATCACGGTTTCTGTCCAGGGCCTTCTCTCCATGAGTGTCTCAGTTTCTGTCACCCTCTGTCACTTGTATTTCTGTCTTTGTGTCACCTTCAAGTTTCCCAAAAGAAAGAATCTGAAAGAGTCTGTTGGTCACTATAGGGCACTGGACATCCCTATCTAACAGGGGGTTCCCACTGGGTTATCTCATTGGCTGCCTGCCAGTTTATGGGTGGTTGTCTTTAAAAACAATGAACACTTCCTGGTTCTATCAGCGAGAATCACAGGGTCAGTCACCACAATCTGTATGTAAGGAATCATGCAGATCACATGCCTCAGAATAGGGGCACAAACAAGTGGGTGCAAAGAGATTCTTCTCCAAAAGCTAGGCCAGAATGTCTTCCCAGTGCACCCCTGGATTACACACTGCAGTTGAAATCTTGGAACTACAACTAGAATAATCTAGCTGAATGAAAGAGCGTAAGCCAGGGATGAATGAAAGGAAGACAACATCGGTCAGAACTAAGACTGAATATGGACATTTTGAAAAGGTCTCAGTAATTGTTTTCAGGACTTGAAGACTCTAATTGCTGATCTTTAACAAAGTGGCCACAAAGGCTTCTGAAAGTTCTAAAATTATGCATCATTTTTATCAGTAACCAAGACCTCAAGTTGCTCCCACAAACCGCATAGGGTCTTACAAAATAGGCTTTGGAAAGGAGATTCTGATGTTTCTGAATTTTTCACCCATTTCTCCAGCTATATTTGCTCTGAAAGGGAAAAAGCGGTCTCAATAACTTGGAAAGAATGAGTCTAAACAAGTTTCAAAAGGCGAGAAGCTCTCCTGGGCATGCTGAACCCTGCCGCCACCACCCACCCCCTTCCTAATGGAAGAATGTTTCATCTGATATTTTCCACAAAAATGTGTGCTGTGGTCACAGCTCAGCGATGCCAACACAAATCTCAAACATAGCCACCTCCTGACTGAGAAGACAATCTGGGCTGGTTTGGTCTGGACCACAGTGACCAGGGACAGAAGCTGATTTCAAATTTCAATTAATTACATGGGAGGAGAGGGCCATCTGACAGACAGGGTCTTAGCATGAATGCTTTTTTCCTGGTGTCAGAGGATTGGGGCGCTGCCACATTACATACGACCAGGGCTTTTTCTATGTGGTATGATGTTTTTCTCCTCCTCTTGTGCTTTTAGAGAGAATGCCAATGGCATGTTGATGTCTCAACTTTCTACACCCTGCAATAATTCATTGAATTCATTCATTTTTTTTTTTTACTCTGAAGTACAGAACATTCTTTATGCAGTCAACCAAAACCTTGATTTTGAGCCATGACCGCTGTGTTAGGAGCTGGTGATAAACTATCTGGTAAAAATACACAGAGTAGGTTGTGTATGTTGAATACTTTGGCTACAGATAACACAAACATAGAACTTTTAAAGACTGGAACAACAGTTACTTGTTGCTTCACTAAGCAAGAAGGTTAAGGTTGGTTAATTCAGTAGATCAATAAAGGTCTTGTGTCAGCTCCATTCCCATGTTTTTGATCTCATGATGGCAAGTGTCTTAGAAGCGTATTCTCAACCACATCCAAATTCAAATAAAAAAATAAAACCGGAATAAAGACACTCCCCGCTTTTGGTCTCTGCCTCTTTCTGAGGATGAACTTTTCCCAAGAAGGATATTCTTCTCTCTGCACCATCCCCCAGCAGAAATACCCTCATGTTTTAGGAAGCAGAATTGTGTTCCAAGCCTGTTCTAAGTCTCGACAGCAAGGCAGATGAAATAGTCATAATTGTCTTCAACCAGTAAAATGCTGCCTTTGGAGGTTAGGAAGAGGCTCAGTCTTTCCTGAAGCACAAGACTGCCCCCCACACAAATACAACCCAGCTCTGTTAGCAGGAGGAAGGGATTAGCTATAGGAAACCAGCGGGTCTACCTCAGTACGGGACTTCCAGATGACCCAGCAGCACAGGAGAAACACTCCCGACATGCACATTTTGCTCATCGAGTCCAAAAGAACCGTGTTTCAGTATCCACTTTGTTCCTTAGTAGTTGCAAGATCTTGGGTTAGTATAACCTCTGGGGACCTCAATTTCTGCATATGTAAAATGGGGTATCATATGTATCTCACTGGGTTGCTGGGAGGGTCAAGCATATGAGTATATACAGAATATTTAGCACCATGGCTGGCCCGTAGGAATCCCTTCCTCAACCCCCCAGGCTGCGTATGGTCTAGACTGCTAGGTAACTGAGAAGTCGGGCAGCTTGTGTTCTGATTGATGAGCACTGTGAACTTGAGGGAGTACGAAGACTTTGGGGGGAGGTAATACTATCACACTTGCTAGGAACCCCAAGGTTTTTGCTACATGCAATGGATTCTTTGCATTTTCTTCTCTGTCTTTCTGTAGCACTGTTACTCTTGACAATTCCCTCTGTTTTAGAATCCTGTCTTTCTCAGGTTCTATGACAACCTTCTCTGGGTTTACCACCTGCCTCTCTAGCAATTTCTTCCCAGGCCCCCTTATAAGCTCCTCTTTGCTGCTTGCCCCAGAAGCATGTTCTTTCCCTCTGGTATAATCTCACCCATCAATTCCTGAGGTAAGCGTTCATCCTTCCCTATACCTTCAATTCCTAGTCGTATTTTAGGACACATATTGGACATTAATGTGTATTTCCTTAATCCAATTTTTTATTCAATCATTTGTTCAGCAAGTATAGAACGAATTCCCACTATATGCCTGGTACTTTTCCTAGAGATAGAATAATAAATCAAGAAGATCAACCCCTGCCTTTATTAACTTATATTATTCTTTTAGGGCATCAAGGAATGCCTTTTTGATGACACATTTACACAGAGCCCCGAAAGGAATGAGTGACCCAACCTCAGCCTTGGCAGAGGGAATAATGAGCACAAATGCCCAGGACTGGGATTGTGCTTGGCATCTTCAAGAAATCCTCATGTGGAGGAGCCTGGGTGGCACAGTTGTTTAAGAGTCTGACTCCTGGGCAGCCCGGGTGGCTCTGTGGTTTAGGGCTGCCTTCAATCCAGGGCGTGACCCTGGAGACCTGGGATCGAGTCCCACATTGGGCTCCCTGCGAGGAGCCTGCTTCTCCCTCTGCCTGTGTCTCTGCCTCTCTTTTTCTCTGTGTACACACTCTCATGAGTAAATAAATAAAATCTTTTTTTTTTTTTTTTTTTTAAAGAATCTGACTCCTGATTTCAGCTCAGGTCATAATCTCAGGGTCATGAGACTGAGCCCTGCATCAGGCTCTATGCTGAGTGTGGAGCCTGCTTAAGAGTCTCTGCCTCTCCTCCTCAACTTGTGCTCTCTCTGAAAAAGAAAGGAAGGAAGGAGGGAAGGAAGAAAGGAAGAAAAAAGAAAGATCCTCTCAGAGCTAGAATGAAATGATCCCAGGGAAAGAGAAGGGACCAGGGGGCAGCAAGGGCAGGTCAGGGAGGCCCTCATGGTCAATGTTAGGGCTTTGGAGAAATGGAGAGCAGTGAATGGTTTCAAAGACAGAAGTGTTGTGATCTAACTTATACTCTTAAAGGATCACTCTGACTGCTGTGTTAAGAGACCTAGAAAGCCAGAGTGGAGGCAGGCAGCTCTGCTAGGGGACAACTGCAATAATCAAGGCCAGAAATTGATGAGGGCTTGGCTCCAGAATACTGCGATGTAGTGGTGAAAAAAATGGTTGAATTTTTATTCTAATCTGAGGTGAGACCAATAGGATTTTCTGTTGGAT